CTTGTGAAGAGATAATCAGCCGAGAGTTTCAGAGTGATGAATCCGGGAAGATTGGATATGATTCTCCATGGAAATCTCAAGATTAAATCCCCAAGTCTAGATGAGAAAACCCTTTTGAATCGAAGCTTGATCTCTTGCAGAAACCTACTTGCTCTGTTTCCGCCATTGTCGTCTGCTTTGTTTTCTTCATCTTCGAGCTCTTCTTCGATCCTCGGAACGATCATCTGATACAAGAAATCTAAGATGTGATTATACTCATGAAACCGAGCCTTCAAAATCTCATCATCTTCGAATTTGATGACTAGAGGAGAGAGATCTCTGCATAGTCCGGTAAGAACAGAGACCAACAGATCATCAGCTGGTTCCGTGGTCGATTCGAGCTGAAACTCGAGTGTTTTCCTCAAAACAAAAAGAGGGATCTGGTTCTCAATCATCATTATATCTCTAAGAATCTCGTTATGTCCAACTCTGTTAATCAAAGTCTCCACCTTTCTGAAATTGTAAAACTTTAGAAACTCGATCAAGAACGATGAATCTACCGCCATTATCCACAACAGAGTCTCGCCGTTAAACCCGATATATTTATGATAACAAGCTCGAATCTTGATCTCCAATGATTGTAATTTCTCGACAAGATCATGAAACCTGAAAGATTTAGATTGATTTCGAAATTTTCTGGCGATCATGAGTTTATACCTCTCCATTTCGTGAAGCTCTGGTTTTAGACAGTGGTAAGGTCCGATGGAAACTCGGTGAGGTGTGTATGAATCTGGATGGCTACACATTAACGCTTTAGGAACATTGAAAATGCTTACTGTGACGTGTTCGATATCGTGTTCTTCGAGATCTGCATCAAGAGATTTTCGAACATTGATGACCCATCGAGCTTCGTCAAAGCTATGTTGCTCAGTTGATTTTTTAGGCAGCAACATGATCTTCAGTTTTAGAAGAAAAACAAGATCTTGAATCGAATCTTTCTTCTTCTTTTAATTAATCTTAGAGTAAC